TGATAGGATTTCAATGTTTTCAATATGTTCTGTAAAACGTTTCGCAAGAAGAACATGGGATTTGCATCACTTCCTGTTTCACGCTTGAGTAGCGACATTGTCCTGAATCCAGGTTGCTCTTCTCTGTGTCTGGATCACGTCATGTCTCTTCGGCGTACATGCTCCGAACAGACATCTGTGCACGGCGCACACAGCCTTGTTACTTGTGCATTTACCATGGCCCGAACCGCCCGAACCGGCCTGGTTCTATGCTGTATTGTTTGCATTGACTTGGCCCACATTCGGACCGAAGGGGCGCCCAAAAGCAGATGCAGCACAAAGGGAAGAGCGGCTCCGGCAGGAATTGCGGGACTACATGGATGCCAATGCTGGGGAACAGCTGCCAACGACGTCGGCCCTATACAGCAAGTTGCGAAGAGCAGGCTTGCTCCGATTGTTGGAAGCAGAGAAGAGTGCAAGGGAAGAGCAGCTTCGGCAGGCAGAAGAGCAAAAGAAGGAAGTGCAGCTCCGACAGGAACTGCGGGACTACATGGATGCCAATGCAGGGCAATCTCCGCCGACGACGTCCGCCCTATACAGCAAGTTGCGAAGGGCAGACTTGCTGCGATTGCTGGAAGAAGAAAGGCTTCCTATGGAAGCGCAGCTCCGACAAGAACTGCGGGACTACATGGATGCCAATGCAGGGCAATCTCCGCCGACGACGTCGGCTCTATACAGCAAGTTGCGAAGGGCAGGCTTGCTGCGATTGCTGGAAGAAGAAAGGCTTCCTATGGAAGCGCAGCTCGGGCAGGAACTGCGGGACTACATGGAGGCCAATGCTGGGCAACCTCCGCCAACGACGTCGGCCCTATACAGCAAGTTGCGAAGGGCAGGCTTGCTCCGATTGTTGGAAGCAGAGAAGAGTGCAAGGGAAAAGCAGCTTCGGCAGGCAGAAGAGCAAAAGAAGGAAGTGGAGCTCCGACAGGAACTGCGGGACTACATGGATGCCAATGCAGGGCAACCTCCGCCAACGACATCGGCTCTATACAGCAAGTTGCGAAGGGCAGGCATGCTTCGATTGCTGAAAGACATGTTGCCCAGAGGCCAGGGGCCGGACACAAGTCCGCTGGATGAGCAGCTTCGTGGTGGTGCTGTCAAGTTTGTGGCGGACAAGACGGTTTTGGACTGCTTACCGTATTTGGCCGATCTACCAGGGACGGCGTTTCAGCGGTATTGTCATGACGCTGCGGCTGATCGTCGCTGTTGCTTTGCGGACATTGTCATTGCTGTGTGTCGAGGTTTCGAATCTGCTGCTCTTTTTTCCATGCAGTCTTTATCTGTTGATGAACAAACTGCCGCTTTGGAATGGTTGGAGACATGCCCAGTTGCGACATCGGATGATACTGCTAGTGTGAGAGCTCGTGTGGAATCTTTTTGTGTTTCTGAAAGCAGGTGGCCCGACAAAGATGGTGGCCACAGTTCAGACCCGGAACTTGTGACAGCTATTCGCAAGGTCCGCTCTCGTCGTTTTGGAGTTGTTGTCAACAAGCGTAAAGGGGTGCTGTCTGATTTTGCGTTGCCTCTCAATGAAGACCAGATGTTGGCGTGGGAAGCCTTACCACTGCATTCATGCTTCTTGTGGTGGCCGCATCATTTGAAGGTTTTCGAAGAAGTTCAAGAGTTGTGGCAAAATCAGCAGTCTTTGCCGGTCCGAGGGCCGCAGAGCGCCTCAGACGCCTTGGCGCAGAAAGTTCGGCGGGTCCGCATGAAAACATTGCTCACCGGCAGAAAAGCTATGCGTGTTGCCGAAAGGATAACTTGGGAAGAAGCATTCCCAAGCATTTGGCAGCGCCGTATGCAGAAGGAAGCATACATCCAAGCTTCACAGTTGACAGATTCCGGAGATCGTTGGCCTTTTCGACGTGGTCCAGAAGCAACGTGTATGCTGGCCTGTGAGCTTTGCGGCAGTGAGATGAACACACAACGTGATTTTTTGAAACATCTGGAAGAACATCATGTGGCTGCTGACAGCGCAGGCAATCGTGCAGAGTGGTGGACTTCGCATCGTGTTGTGGAAGAGTATCGCAAGCGCATGATGTTCTATGAGCAAGTGGAAGGCGGATAGTCAAGTCGGTACTCAATGACAAACTGATAGGATGGTGTGATGTATCTTCATTTTTTGATGTCACGCATACTGGCATGAGTGAAATAGTTTCTGCAACCAGTTGAAAATAGCCAGTTCCAATTTGCTTAACTAATATGATGGCTCTCCGTGTGTCGGGGTGCAGTTGTTTCTGTTTTTGGCATCCCTGGCCCAGGACCGTTTCCTGTCAAAGGTGAACAGATGCAACGGGGCATTGCCAAACACGCATTTCATCAAGTGCATAGCTGCAGAGGCAAACACGCAGAGCCTCGGTCCTTTTCTTCATGTTGTGTGTGTGCTCGTGGATTCTGGAAGGAGGACCTTCGACCGGTGAAACTGTTTGTGACGGCGCTTGGAGCCACGGAATTGGATGAAGTGAATTTGGAAGACCCTGCAAATGATCAAGATGAAGCGGAAGAGGAGAAGGAACAAGATGACGGTGTGCTTAGTATATCTCCTCAAGCTGTTGCAAGATTGCATTCACACATTTTCGATGTATATCGTTATTCCAGACTGTGGCCTTTGATTCCTTTAGCCGAACTTTTGGCTAGTACTGTTGAACATCCGACTGGCAAAGACAAAGCAGGCCGAGCTTGTCGATGGTTGCTGAACACAAAGATGGTTCCATCGCGGCTCGGTCCCGATACTGTCGTGGATGTTTGCATGGCTTGCTCGCAGAGCTTGACGCGCAAGGTGCCACAGATGCCCAAGTTTGCGCTTGCCAATTCTTTGTGGATTGGTCGTGAACCTGTCGTGTTTCGCAATCAAGGCAAGAAATTATCTCCTATGACATTCTTACTTCTTTCCTTGGGCCGTGCTGTGGTGCAAAAAATCATTGCCGAGAAAGACAAGCCGGGGAGAAGGCAAGAAAAACAAATGGGCATGCGAAGCAACACTGTAGCATTTCCGCAAGCTAAGATACGAGAATTGGTATCCACTGAACTGCCTGCAGCTTCGATTGAGACCCACCGTTATTTGTCGGACAGCATTTCTATTGCATTGGTGGGTTGTGATCCGGAGGACTGGGTCTTGTACTGTATGGGGATGTCTACAAGAAAAGGTTTGTATGAAGACTAGCGGGGCCGACGGAATAGTTGTGTTTTGTTTTTTTGTTTCGAATCGTTTGTGTGTCATGCTAGGACTTGGATCGTGCTACTTGGGCCGAAGTTCCGCGAGATTTATATATGACAGCAGCAAAGTATCTTGTCGCTCACAATGTTGCTTATCAGCACCTTACAGTCTCTGAGGACAATGCAAAGGAACAGTTCATGGAATTGGGCGCCACTTGTGCTGCTGTGCGTGCCCAGGCTACTCGGGTTGCAGAGGCTGAAGCTATGCTTGTGAAGTTGGACGCTCCTGGAGACACATCTGCGGATACTGTCGTGGTGACTGTCGCGGAAGCGACTGTGACCGATGCTGCGGAGACGGAACTGGCGGCGACTGCCGACTGTGGAGATGACAGCGGTGATGTTGGCTCAGTCCACAACCAATCGCTTGATGCGGACGAAGATCAGCCGCCGCCTGGCTTTCAATGTGTGGCGGCAGAACTGACAAGCGCGGACTTGGACGTGGAAAGATGTTGTAAAGAGTTTGCTGCAAAGTTGCAACTTCTGGCCGCTCGGGCACAGCGTCTTGGTGGTGGTGATGATGCGGTGGAACAAGAATTGACGAGCTTGAAGGCCCTGGCTGAAACGATGTCGAAAGCTGATTTGCAAGCAAAGCTGGATGAATTGGTGCAACAGATGGATGCTGCGGAAGGTGCCACTCACAGTTTGACGGGTAAGTGGGTGCAGGTTGTCCACACTGGGAGTGATACCCTGTCGATGTATTCACCTGAATTTTATCAGAAATGTTTTCCGGAATTATTTCCGTATGGTGATGGAGTATATGGCTTACCGCGGGACACTCCTCTGACTTTCCGCGAGTGGGCAAGCTATCTGTTACAGCAAGAGTTGAGCTGGAGTATGAAATCTCCGACGTAGCCACCTCTGATTCTCTGCCAGAAACGCCGTTCCAGCCCCCTATCATTCCACGCTGGCAAGCAGATTTGAATTTTCTTGCTGTTGCTTCTGATTCTTGGAAACGCATGGAGATGGTGCGCTTGGCTTCCGGACATGTCCGGCGGAAGAAATTCAAAGATTCTCTGCGTGCTGTCCTGGATTGTACTTCTGCCAAACTCAGCACCGCTTTGCGTGAGCTTGGAGATCATGCGACGATGGGTGATGTGATGCGTTCAGCCAAGGCAGACACTCGCCTCAGAGATGCGATATCGCAGCTGTTATTCTTTTCTTCCGATGTGGTGGGATCGGATGGGGCGAGACAGCAGCTGAGACATGAGCAGAACGGTGCGATGCTGATGTGTCTTAGCGGCAAGTGCCGTCTGTATAATGATGGTGAACAGTTGGTCGTGGTAGTTATGTTTCATTGAAATGTTTTTGTTAGGAAAGTATTAACGGAGGACATGGCAAGTGAATATTTTGTTGTCGACAAGCTTCACATATATATACTCTTACACTGAAGCCTTTGCAGGTATGGTGGTGTGCAAGGCTTCTTGACGCCGAATGTTGCAGACACGCGAAATCCATTGCTTGTGATTCTACACAATGGCAATGTCGCTGCTGCTGCTGGTGGACTGACACCGGATGGCACATCGGAGAAGTACACTGTGAATTTGCTGGACGAGGAACCCACCATGCCTTCTGCCAGTCGCATGCTTGAGATATTAGCAGAAAACCCTGTTGCACAGGCCAAATTTTTCATCATCAGCATGCGTTTGTTTTTGGAACACGTTCTTGGCGTGATGCCGTTTGACGACCAACTTCGTGCAAATGGTAGTCGGGCAGGGGTGATCTACGCAGATGGAGCTGCTGCGAATTTTATGGGCGGTGCGTTCCCGGCTGTGCAGCAACTTCATGGACCCATTGAGGAACAAGCTCGGCTTGCGTGCCACCCTCATATAGTTTTGCATTTTGCCAATCGGACTTCTCAAGCATGGCTTCGCTCGGTTTTGTTGGCTGAGACGGACGAAGCTAAAGCTTTGTTGCGCAATTGGCAAGAGAAAACTATTCTGGCCGTTGAAAGCATCATGTCTTCCTGTGCAGGCACAGGTCGATTGCACTTTGAAGAAATTCCGTTTCGAGAAGACATCGACTTGAAGCCCCAGCCGTACAGTGAGAAGTGGCGGGAAGAAGATCGTTTTGATGGCGGTGCAGAAGAAGATGTCAAGGAGCCCGAGAAGAAACGTACTTCTGTTACGGTGGTGCCACCTGTGGTCGATTATCATATACGAAAAGCTATGACAGGAGAATCTGCTACATCTTTTGAGGAGACAAAGCAAAAGGTGAACATCAAGCATATCCCTTTGACTGGATGCGTCATGGCGCGCTTGCCACATTATCGTCTACCGGTGTCAGGGTATGCTGCATGCAGTTGCTCACTATGTGCAAAGGCTCGGACAGATGCTGAGGAACGTTCGACGAGTGGTTTTCCCATTGATGCGAAAGAAGACATGCAGCAACAGTATATTGCGAACTTTTGCGAAGACTTGCATGCTGTGTGTGCTTTGTCTGGCCACCTGCACGAACACAAGAACACGTGTTTCAAGTATGCTCCTGAAGGTAGCCGCAGAAAGCCTCAACATTGTCGATTTCATTTTACACATTTTGTGAAACTCTGGAAAGAGAAGTTGATGGATGATCGGTCAACGAAAGTCGTCGAGGTTGTGGTCGCAAGGACCGGAAAGGACCCTTTGCTGCCTGTGTGGCCCGGGGAAGGTATCCGCTTGACTTTGGAGTCTCTCCAAAATGGTGTGACGTTAGATGGCAAGCATTTCGCTGGAAGGTCTTCTTTGGGGTCTCATGTAGAAACAAATCAAGATGGAACACAATGTGGTCGGATCAAAACAGTGCAATATAATCCAAGAGAAGGTCAGTGTCTTCCGGCGCCTCGGTTGCATTTAATTTGTTGCCAACCGTGCGGGTTGGAAGTGTTGTTTTTAGAGTGTGAAACCTGTTGTGCTGTTAGACTGTTGGACAAAGAGAGACTTTTTCGTTGTCAGTTTTAGAACTGTTGTTTCGTGTGACGGGTTCTAGTGAGCGCAAATGTTTGCCGCAAACAGGCAGCTATGGTGGCGCATCGTGGCAATTTGAATTATCAGGATTGTCGTCGAACGTTGACTGCTGGCTTTGACAGGGAGGAACTTGACTTGTTGCGTGATCTGGGCGCAAATTCTATGCCGATGTCGTCTGGAAGCAGTGGCTCAGTCCCTGGCAATGACTTGTTGACACGACAAACAAAGATCATTGGATCAGAAGCAACAGGCCAGCAGTCTGGAAGATGTGGCTCAGTCCCTGGCACTGACTTGTTGGCACGACAAACAAAGATTTTTGGATCTGAAGCAACAGGCCACCAGCAGCGAGTGCGCTTTAGAGTTGTCATTACTTCCGCTTTCATTCTTGCTAATGAATTTTGGACATACCAGGGTTTGCAGTGGATTGGCAACTCGGAGGTCAGGGACCGTGCCCAGAAAAGAGCAGCCCAGTTTTTGACACCGTATCTGGATGGCCTCATGTGCAAAAGGTTGAGTCGGACATGTTTGGCTTTGTACCGGTTGGAGTTTGAGAGAACAGGTGCCGCCGATGCTAATCGAGTGGGCGATCGATTTTTGAGCCCGGAATGCAGACTTCTTCATGGATATGTGAAAGAATGCGTCGTGGAAAGCATTCGCACTGGTATTCAAACCAGTTTTTATACTTGCGCCTACACCACCAAACCTTCCATGACGTGTGGACCCATGCTGAAGCATTTGACTCATGGGATGAAGAATCTGGAGGAGAAAATGCAAGCTGAAGCCGAGCAAGAGGAAGCTCAGCGGCTTCAGCTTGCATACCCGCTGCCGGCCGTGCGAGAAGGTCGAGGCTTGACTGCTGAGCAGCGGGAGGCCCGACGCCGCTTGTGCCGCCTTTGGACTTCAGCGAACCACGCAGTCATGCATGGCTTCTGTCTCATGTCTCTCCAGCTTATGACAGGCCGTGAAGTGTTACGGACGCACATCTTCTGGCGCATCATGATGAAGCGAGTACTTTGGGGCGTGTTTGAAGAAATGCGCAGAAACGCTGAAAAACTCGCAGATTCGTTTGAGCTACAGACAACCGCTGCAGTCGAGGACATTGAGCTGCCGCCTGCAGGGACACAAGCAGCGGACACGCGGGCCACTTCTTTCTATGAGGACTACTTGCATCGAGGAATCGCAGAGCCATTAGCTTCTATGAACTTGTATGTCTATGCAGTGCATGTCAGTGCTGTGCCGTTACAGGAAGCTGGCAAGTTTGACCATGGTGAGTTTGATTTTTCGGAACACTATGTCAAAGCGAAGACGCATGTGCAGGTTCTTCATGCGGCTCCTCGTATTCCTTATTTGCATGGAATATCGATGCCCACAAAACAGAAAGATCCGGACATGTGGGCTGCCGTACATATTGCCTTACTTCGAAAACATTGCTGTGAAGATGAGAATGTTTGCGGTCAGGCGAGCGCTGTTCGCCATATTCACATCTTCCCTGGAAAGTCGCGTGTGCGTGTGGTGTCTCCTGGCAACGATGCTCGTATAGTGCGAGATTCCACTGGTGTGTTGGCGGAATGGAAAGCTACTGAAGCCCGTGTGCAGTGCTTGGCAGACCGCGCAGATGCGCCCTGTTCGAATATTTCGCTTCTTTGTTGTTTTTTTCGTTTGGTTGTTTTTGTTTTGGCGTGCCGAGTTGCACAAGAGTCATCACATTGCTCCACATTGTCAGCTTGGAATTTCATAAAGTTACATGTTTATCCATGACAAGACTTGTAACATGTCTTTGAGCACGCCGGGGACAGGTGAAGCTACGATGCGCACGTAGATGTGCCACAGCTACTCGGTTCTGGATATTTCCATATGTTTTTTTTTGCATTGTTTGATTTTGGTGGATTGGCGGTTGCATAAACGACATAGATGTATGATAGACACATGTATCACTTCTTGTGTAGATGTTCCCGCTTGCAAGCTTTGTCAACTGATCGAACTGATTATTTTGGACATATCCTTGTGTGAAACACATGTTTGCTGCAGGTTGTGGATGTAACTGCTTTGCGCCAATACAAAGTTCCTGGAACTGTGGAAAACTGTGATGTCTTGGAGTCTTTGCTGAAGATGTTTACAGAGTCAAATCGCCCAAAGACGCGTCGCACCTGGAAACAAGGTCGGCGCAAGCGGACAGTCTGCAGTACCGTACCGCTGGTATCTGAAAGGATCCTTGGAAATATTTTCGATTATGTGGGACATTTGACGACAGAGGACGGTGAAGCTGTTTTGCTCGGGAATAGTCCGGAACATTTTGACACTTGTGTGTTGCATCGACCAGACTTGGCTGCTGCAAAGCGATGCTCTTACGGATGGCATAATGAACAACTGACAGCCGCGGAATACGTCGCCACCATTAGCCGAGAAATTTCCGCTAATTTGGATTTCATGGCTGAAGCTCGGCGACGACCCAGACCTGGTGTTTTGCATCCAACTGCCACCGATGAGAAAGAAGATGTGGGTCTACAAGGCGAATTCGTGAATGTAGAGGATGTGGATGACATTCAAGATCCAGATGCAGACGATGTGGATCAAGACACGTCTCTTCGACCGGACATTCAATACAAACCGATCTTGCATGTGGCATCCAATGATTTATTTGACATGGTGCATCGCAGGAACGTGGGCTCGGGTCGGGCAAGTGCCAGCACCAAACGTTCAGAAGAATTCTTGCGTCAATATGGTGGAAAATATTTGGATATGAAAGAATCCCGTCCTTGCGCACGGGCTCCTGACACGGATGTGCAGAGGCGTGCTACTTTCAACGTCGTTGCTGGCTTGAAGGCGCAGAAGTTTTTACAAGAATCTCGAAAAGAAAAAGATGAAAAGTTGATGGACGCATCAAAAGATGAATTCTTGCCCGGAAACGCTAGTCTTTTGGAAGTTCCCGTGAGCATGGCTCCTGAGACTGAGGTACTTGTTCTCTCTCCTGCTGACATGGCGTTGCGACTGTTGCAACAACGTCTGCCGACACGTCAGGCTGATGGTACGTACCAAATCTCGCCAGATCAGTACAAGGCATGTGTGTTGGCGATAGCGCCCCTGCAGAAATTATGGGTCAAGGCGGGTGAGCATGATCTGCAGCATTGTTTCGGCGCACGTGGCCGCCTTCGCGAGTTGCTGGCATTGGTGACTCCGGTGCTTGGCTAGATAATTGTCCTGACATGTTTTTGTGTTTTTGCCTATTACTTGGTGGTGCTTGTTTGTGGGACTTCGCAGATCGGTGCCACAAACGGTTCCTGGTGATGTTTAGGGTGTTTTTGAAAAGTGTCTACTTTCCCCGTAACCTTTTCAACCCTGGAACGCTTTGACGTGCTCAGGACATGATTGCTCGAATCTTCTTGCATGGACCTGGTGGCTCGGGGAAAACCTATATGCTCACTCGAGTCATACTGCCTGTCTACGAACATTTCTTGCCCAAGGCATCCAAAGGCATCGCAGCGCAGAACTCCGCAGCTCGCTTAATCACAGGTGCGACGTTTCATTATATGTCGGCACTGAAACGATCTGCGGAGCTCGGCCTACAGAAGCCGTCGCGGGACAGAATGCAAGCATTGGAGCGTCGATGGCAGCATGTGGCTCTGGCATTTCTAGATGAGATTTCATTGACGCCTCCTTCTTTGCTTGCAGTTTTGGATGACGCAGCGCACTGGGGCAGGCAGTCTCTCTTGAATTCGTGCTCCAGTGGCTCAGTCCCGGTGGGCGGATCCATTCCGGCGGCTCAGGCACTGGGGAAGAGGAAGACTCGGAGAAGTCGTGATGCTGACGATGCTTTTTCAGCTGGACATGATACATTGGGAAACATCTTGTGCCAAATTCTGGCCGGTGATTTTTTGCAATTGAACCCAGTCCTGAACTATTCTTTGATGGAAATATTTGGAGTGGAAGTTCCCCGCGCACCTACATATGAACGCATGGACGAGCAGTCGCGCCAGCGCAAGCAGCAGATCGATCGCAGGGGCTTGCAAATTTTCGATCGCTTTTTGCCACAAACGATTTTGTTTCGAGGCAGCCATCGTTTCAAAGCCGGTGACCCTTTGGCAGCGATCCTGGAGAACATGCGAAAAGAAGGTTTCCACCCACTGACTCCTGAACTCAAAGATTTGATACGCAAGCAATTGTTTCGCCCTAGAGCAAACGATCCTCGTCTTGATAGCAATTTTGTTATGCGTGACAGTGACGGTCGGCAAGTGGGCCCAACGGGTTTTTTTGCCAATGGTGTGTTTTCGGCAATCAATTGGGATCAAGTGGCCCGCCTCCAGCAGATCACTGTCTACGAATCGGCGCGGAGCAGTTTTGGTGTACATGCTTTCCAGAACACGATGGATGGTCGCCCGCTACAGTTTGTCAGACACTTTCCACCTGCTTTGGGACGCTCCTTCCAGCGTCGGTTTGGCCAATGTTTGCAGAGTGTTGCCGAGGTACTGAAATCGTTTTTGTTTGCCAAAGGGCAGGTGATTTATTATGCGCAGGCAGTTGATTTGGTGCATCAGAAGGAATACTTCGCTGATCAAAGTGTACTGCGAGAGTGCTTGTCCATTACCAATATGGCTTCGAAGACGTGCAATTTGATGGCCTTTGCACCTTTGCACGTTGGACTTCGCGTGAAGATCACCAAAAAGTTGATGGCACCAGAGCTCGTGCAAGAATGCCCTGCAGAGATCGTTGCGATCCATGTTCATCCGGAAGAAAGATACGGTATTCCAGGCTGCCCACCTGGCTTGTCACAACCACCACTTGGACACCCGTGTTGGACCGAAGGAATCTGCCGATTGGATTACTTGCCTGCAAGCATCACCATTCGAGTTGAAGATCGCGGAGACGATTACACTGGTGAAGGCTTGCCTGGCATCTGGCATTTGGATCCCTGCGAAGACGAATTTCGCTTGCGAATTCGTCGACGTGGGGAAATTTTCTTGGATGTCACTCGAGTACAATATCCATTGGCACCGTGGATGGCAGGAACATACAACAATCAACAAGGCAAAACTGTGCGGAACATGGGCCATACTATTGATTTCAACAAGCCAGATTATTTCACTGCGGAGGAGTATACCCAACACGTATCCATGATTCTGGGTCGAGCCACGTGTTTAGAATGGTCCCTATTCAGGAACCTGCCTATGCTGCCAGATGGCTCTGACATCGATTTTGATGTTTTCGAACATGGCCCTCCGCAATATATTGCTGACTTTTTGAAACGTTTGGAGGCGGGGCTGCTGACGGAATTAAATAAGGGGAAGTATTACATTGTTGCAAGTTGCGTTCACGGTACATGTGGCAGGATGTGGCTGAAGCTTCCCACGTCGCTGTGGATACAGCCTTGCAATCTTTACCAGGCTTCCCGGCGGCCCACCAATTGCCGAAGCCGATTGGTTTGGACAAAACTGGTGGTTTTGTGTATGAAGACAATGTGTGGCTCCTTGCAGTGTCAAAGACTCAGCAACCAGATGTTGGCAACAGGAAACGTCCCTGGCCTGGAAAATCTACTGCAGATCGAACGATGTTTTGCCAGAGCTGGCAGTTACGGTTGTCGACTTTATCCCGGGCTGCTGATGATTATTTGTTACGCGAGCACAGATTGCGTGCCTTTGCAGCTGATGCCGGCGCTGGCGGCGACTGTTTCTTTTTGTCTGTGGCGGCAGCATTGGAAACATTGCGGGCTGAACAGCACAACTTGCCTTTGTCACTGGAGCAGCTGTTTTCTGTTGATGTGAGTCGTGGGGCGATGGTCAGACGTTTGCGTGGCATTGTTGGCCAAGGTGTTATGAATTGGGGTCCCAAACAGTTTCTTGATTTTGCCACGACATGTTTGGCCAACGAAGTTGCAGGTATGTGGTTGGATTCTTGGAAGATGTCGCGGCTGATCGCGAACACACCGTTTGCTTTTCTGCAAGGCGTCAATAGCGTTCATGACCTGACGCTGGACGCAGCCAACGCATTGATTTTGCATTGCAAGCATGGAGAGAGTCCAAACCTTGTGCAGCATAGAATAGATGCAGGCAGGGATGTGCTGACAAAAATGCAGCGAGCTGTGGCTGACAACATCAGCCAGGTCGGTAACAACCACTGGGCAACGCATACTGACGTGGACATTTTGTCCCAGGAATTACATGTGTGTTTTTGCATCTTTGGAAACGAACCAGTTCAAGTCAAGCAGCAGGGATCACTCGGTGCTGCGAGTGTTTTGCATTCTTACGCAGCCACCATGGATGGAGCGGAAGTTTGCATATGCTTGTACAACATCTCTTATCAACATTTTGAACTTGTTTTCCTGGATCTTGAAAGTGGATTTCAAAGCGCTTTTCGATTGCCGGAACTGCCGCTGTCTCTGGCGGAAGCAATGACAAAGGCGAATCCATGACTGGAGAGATGTACTCACCGCAGTGGCTCAGTCCCTGCGTTGTGAGCTGAACGGATGAACATCAAAAATGAAAGTCGCGGCCTCAGTGAGAAGTAAAGTCACGCGAACGTTTCTGGAGTGTCTTCTAAGAGCGTCTTCCCAGAGTGTCTTACAGGAATGTCTTCCAGGATTGTCCTGCACGAGTGTCTTCCAGGTTTGTCTTTCTGGCGTGTCTTGCTGGCGTGTCTCCGGCAATCGGTCACTGAGATACTGGGAGTGCAAACCTTGCTGGCTGTCTGGTGCTGGCTGCCTTGCGCTTGACCGCAGTGACTTGGACAAGTTTCATTTTGTAAATGATCACGAGTCCTGCTCAGCTTTCAGATCACATTTTGCAACACATGGATAAACATTTCAGAGAGGTTGATTGCCATACAGATATAACCCGTCTGCAGAACTGGATCGGACATAGTTTGTTTTTCCTCTCACAGCAATGCAGTTGTCAAACAGGGTGAAATACACAGCAAATGTTGTTGAGAGGTCAGTTTGCACAAGCAGCTTTGGAATTCTATTTACACGGATCATTACCATACACATATCACACGGTCAGCCGAACTGGATGAAAAACTACTAGAGAGCGGGCGTGGCAGAAAAACTTGCATCTGACCTTGTCGCAGGCTGATGATGGACTGCGATCATTGCAGCCAACTGCAGCAGAAGACGCGTTGCCACATGGACTTTCGCAGTAGAAGGCGCGGACTGGCACCTGGAATTTTGCATTAGATACGGAACAAACATATCTATAGCAAACATGCAAAATTTGAACCCTTGGTATTCTGTCATCTTCTGTTCTTCTGTGTCTCTGTGTAAGTTGGCCCTGGAATCATCTAGTCTTCTGTCATCAGGTGCCTTCGCTGCGACAATGAGCGCACGATGCGTGGAAAAAAGAGTTCGCTTTTTTATTGCAGAGGTTTGGACTCGTAGCCCAAGAACGTGAATACATTCGGGTTCGTGGCTTCCATCTTGTTTTTTTGATGACCATATATGTTGGGAGTTATTCGGACTTTTAAATCTCACTATATTGGGATATATTGGGATTTGGGAAGAAAAACAGTTGGGATTGCCATTGGTGATCGGGACCTGGTTGCAGAATCCATTCAGTCTCTGATGTCTTAGCTGCAAAAAACCTGTTGATGTTGATTTGTTACAAGTTGGCAAGGGAAATGGGCTCACGTTTAATTACATGAACACGTTTGATTATATGATATGTATGGTCATCCAGCTTCCATTCACCCAGCGGTACTCAAACCGCCCCCGGTGAGGCGCGCCGTACCTTGGCTCCTCCTCATTACGATGGGGCTGGGGACCTCGGAATGGCACCAGCTGATGAAAACTTCAAATGTTTGGGTACAACATGTGAGAAATGTATATGAAAACAGCCCAAAAATGTGATGAAAACAGCTCAATGTTTAGGAGGTTTAGGAGTGGGGAAGTCCATCGGTAGACCTTAGGTGAGCGACGTGGCGGTAGCCGGCAAGAAGGGATGCTTCTTTTCTGCCAGCCGGGATAGGCGCGTTACCAGACATGGATTCGAATCCCACCGGAACCATCCATTGCTGGTTGGGGAACAGACGGAAGAAATTGTAGTCTCCAAGTCTCCAAGAAATTGTTTGTACTGCCAGGTGATGTGCCAAACGGGCTATCATGGGCCATCCGTTTCACCCCTTTGGGCAGGTCCATTCGACGCTGGGATTGCAAGACCCTGGAGAGCGACTTGCAACTGGCGCATGCTCAAGGCGCGCTCAACGAGGGTGAAGAACGAGCAAATCTGTTACATCAGTATGGGTCAAACTTGAGGTGTAGCCCAAGTTTAAACCCATCAAAATGGATGGTCTTTTTTTTTAGTGGTTTACCTCAAGTTTTGTTGGTTTAAAATGGTTTAAATGGATCCATTAGCCCTGGTTTTGATGGTTTTAACCATCGTTTAACCATATGAGGCGATTGGCTCACGGCCCTGGCCTTGTCCGTCAGTGAGGAGGTGCTCTTCAGTGGTGGCAAGGTGCCATAGCCGGGCCGGGCCGGGCCGGGCCGTTGCGGTGCAAAATGGTGGGAAAACAACCGGAAAACCAAGGAAAAAACCACCGAACATCTGGAAAAACCATGGAAAACATGGAAAAACCATGGAAAATCCACGAAATCTGATGGCTAATCTGGGCTAATCACCGTGTTTTCATATACTATAGTATGTTTTTTCATTCAAATGAATATTCATGGTGAGTATATCTCCAACATTTTAAGACACGCTCGTAACACTGACCATCCTGTGGTGACAAGATTTTTCTGCATCCAGTCGCCACAAGGGCAACAAATATCAGGAATGTTTTCCCCAATCTCAATTTCATTTCACAGTTCAAGAGTTCATTCCAACAATTTCTTGAATCTGCTAGAATCTCTCCTCACTGAAACATTTGATTTCCAAGACAATCGTTCCTATTCGTTAATTATTTCCTTGAATTCCTTATTGAATAGATATTTCCTTGATTATTTCATTAATTCTCGACAATCACACATTCTACTAGTTTTTTTTTTTAAAAGTCATGATTAACTTCATCTTGATAACTGGATAGATATATCCATGATATTTCCGGGTGATATTTCCAAGTGATTTCCCCAGATTCATCTGCCTTCGTTCCATTTCCCCCATGGCTGCAGGACTCCATCATCAAGGTCTGGGATGGAGATCTGTGCCGTGGCGATGAGGAAAATTTGGGGGTTTCCATAGTCATGGGGCAAGGGGTACCCCGCTGGATGGTTTATTTCATTCCATTTATTCCATTTCTACTTTTTTTTGGAATGGAGTAGCGGGCCTCGGAGATTTTGTTGGAAAGGAATCGGTGGTGAAGAAGAGATCTGTTTGAAGGTTCTGTGGAAGATCTGGCTGATGAATCAATGAAGAACATGAAGATGTCATGACAAGGTTTTCATTATCCTCTGGTAAACTAACAAAACTATGGACAATCACCATTTTTCATGGGAAAATCCACTATAAATTGTGATTTTCCATAGTTATGTTAAATTACCAGAGGGTATCCTCACTCTCACCGGTACTGACATGAATCTGCGCGTGATATGGCCATGATGTAAAACGGAGTTTTTTCATCATTGAAAATGCACCTATTCTGCCGCTGCCAAACATAAAAGACCATGAAAACCCATACCTGGCCATACCTTCATATTCACAATGACTTGGGTCACTTTTTTTGGAGTAAATTTGCTCAATTTTCAATGGAGCATCTTTCCCGGTGGTACCGCTGATTTCGCATCGTGGTTACGCGGCACCGAGGCATTGCAAGGATATGTTGCAAGGTCCGGACCCGGAGCGGGGGGTCGTTTCAGCCCATTTCACAACACCTTCGGGCAATCTTCCAGAAAATTCGCATGGCATTCCAAATAAATAAATAAATAAATAAATAAATATATATATATTATACGTATATCTGTTATAATATATATATATATCTGTATCTATTTTCAAAATATCTACATGATCTACATGGCAGAAAATGTCTGATGTCTTACCATCGGCTAACACACGCGATTGGTCTGTTGAGGTCACCGGGGGCCGATCTCCGATTTGGTGCGATCTGACATGTCTTACTGGGACCGGTGGCTACCCCAGGGACACCTTTTGGGGCCAGGTTTTTTTAAAACATGTTTGAACCGTGTTACATATAGTTATATGGTGTTAAATGGTGTTATATATGTGTGTGTTATATGGTGTTATAGTCTATGTTATAGTTATAGTTATAGTTTATGTGTGTTATATGTTGGAGTCTATGTTACAGTTATACATATAGACATATAGAATAGTCACTATAGTTATATAAATTATATAATCACAATCCGTCATAATGCTATTTAAATTAAGATGTATTTGCCCCCTGGTCGAACTAGCATGACATATGCCTAGTTTTGGGTAGTTGCGAAGCCGTTTCATAGCTGATGTTGGCTCGGTCTTGCAGTGCTTTTCAGGACCTTGAAGAGTGCCATTCAGATTGAGAGCCCACCAGCCATCAAAAAACCTGAAGTGGCATTGACCAGAATTTACAACGCAGCCAACGGGAGTTTTTCTGGTGGTAAAGCCATACTGTACCCACAAAAGCATACAAAAGCAAGAACTAAAGATTGTCAACCCCAGATCAATCACCCTCTTTTTTGGCTGTCCAATTGGTGGCGACATTTGAGTTGCATTTCATTCTTTGGAAGGAACCCTTCGGTTTGAATCAAGCAGGGTTCATATGTTCATCCGGTCAACCGGGCCACTTGATCCACTTTCTATCGCCAGTTGACCATCGACAATCATCTCTTCTCTGCTTCACATGACCGCACTGTGTGCATCCTCAGGGTGTGGGATAAGGTTGCACTGAGTGTGATAGATCATGGACGAATTTGAGGAACACATGCCCAGTTGATATGGAACAAAGAAGGCCGAGTGAAATGCCGAAAAAAATTGCGAAGCGTGATGCTGATGAAGGATGATGAAGGGTCCAATGGTGAGTGTTTCAAAGTCTGGTAGTCTGCCAAAATAGACTACACAACTTCTCAAACATCGAAGAAACAATAAGAAACAGATTGGGTTATAACGGTTATGGGTGCACCCTGCTAAAAGGCGCCCCTTTGCAGTTGTTCAGCCGCCTTCAGGTTCGTGTTTGGAAGATAGACCACTTCGACACCTAAACGCCGCCGCGGGGGCGGATTTGCCAAAGGTGCAAAGGTGCAACGTGTGACTCGATCAGTCAACTTAGAGGACCAGATGAGACCTTTTAAAGGGGCCCGGTAGTGATGTGCTTTCCACCAAGGGAAAGCCGAAATGGATCAAAAAAAGGACTCAGTGGATTTGGGGTCCATATTGAGAAACTCATAGATGTGATAGATGTGATAGATGTGATAGGCCCTGCGAATCTGTTATTCATTGGTCCTGGGTGTGGGTAAGTGGCACCACTATGCGCCACTTCCACATGTGAAGTTTCAGGTTCCTTGTTGATAGGAGCCAGAGATGAGGGAACCACTTGATGCTTCTATCGGATAGAGGCTGGCTTGCGCGCAAATGAACCCGGATCTTAGATCCGGCAGAGGTTTCCTCTGGATGCAAGGCCACCACTTCCTCAGGTATCGCACCAAAAAAAGGCCACATTATTTGAAGGGGACATCTTCTTAACACATATTTTATACTAATTACTAAAGGTACCCTCTGGTTAGTTAACATAGCCATGGAAAATGGCCCATTTATAGATGGTTTTCCCATTAAAAAATTGATGAGGGATTTTCCATGGCTATGTTAAATAACCAGAGGGTACATCTGATTTCTGGACATTTATTGCCATGGCCACCATCACCTGAAAGCAGAGGAAACCAGTAGCCGGATGGCGCCATGGTGTTGCTTTTTTGCATCACCGAAGCAATGTAAAAAGATGGCATCGATTTGGGGACCTGGGTCATCATAATATGTCATCATGTTTCAAGATGATTTGAAAGGCAGTCATTCTTGGATAATGCATGGATCAACTTCCATTGTGATTGCTTCAAAGTCACATTTTTTTTTCTGTGCACCTATATAAATCAACAGCCGAACCCACGATGGTACAATGATGTGCAGTCAGAGCTGGAACTTAAACAGATTTGTTTCTCTTTAACCACCTATTTTCTATTGCTTACTGCAATCTCGACTTGCGTCTTTCTTCTATACATCTATTGTGGCATGTTGCTTACTTGGAGAATCATCCAACCTGGCAACTGTCTAGCTAGAGTGATCCCGTTTATAGGTGGGTTATAAGCTCTACGAATCACTTGTCAAGTTGGATTTTAGTGGCATTTGTTCCAGTCAAGTGTCCGAAACATATATGTTCGACCACCAAATGGGGACGGCGCGACATTTGGATATATTTCCAACATAGATTTTCCCAACAAAGTAACAAAGGAAATGCATACCCAATGGAATCCTGAGTCCAAATTCAATCAAGCTCCTGTTGGATTTTGGTCGGAAACCAGCAAAACACTTAAAAGCACTTGTTTTGACAAAAAGTGTTCGTTTTTGAGGACTACCATTTCTTTGTTGAAACAGCTAAAAGTATCTAAAAGTAGTACGGTCACCTATTTGTAGTGACACATATTTTGTTCTTTTGTGGATTTAAGTGCAGGGTTCAGGGCCATTTGCATAGTATATGCGAACAAACATCTACTTCTGAATGCGTGAACTTGTACTCGCTGGTATAACGGCAAACCTGCACATGTCCAAAAAGTTGCCATCGTCGCTCATGTTCGCAAATATTTTGCTCAACGACAGCCTTCAGCATTAAAACCCTCAGAACATCAAAGTAAACACATTAATAAATCTAAGGATTCCGAAAATCTAAGCATCATCGCTTAAATGACTTTGCGTCCGGCAATCGTCTGCAAAGAGTTTGCAATGGCAAGCGCTTTGGGGTCCATGGCATTTGGCCGTTGGATGTGGCTGTTGGGAGCCTTTCCCCTGGCAGCAGCAGAAGATGTGTTGAACGTTCTTTTCATGGCCACTTGGATGGTGTGGGATAGCAGGGCGGTGCTGGGGCTGTGGTTTGAATGTTGTGCTTGAAAACCAGGTGAGGGTGATGATAAAGATCAAATTGGAACATATTTTAACCAACCAATCATCAGCTCACTAGTCTGGGGCATGGAGCAACCCAAGAGTTCATTTTGAGCCACAAAACAGTTTATTGGCGGAAGCATCGAGGGCCAAATTCCAACGTTTGCTGCTAAAAGATGCCTATCGTTGGTGAGTCGAGTGACATGAGTCATATCCCCATCCTCATCGGTCCATTTTTTGGCGGTTAAAATGCAAGTTGTTGGTGATTATAATCACTATGCCCGTCAGTGAAACACTGCCTGACATGTGTTCTTTTCCAATCTGGGCATGATTGACCCCAAGTGACATCAAGGCCGACATAGGTCACAGCCGAAATCATGCCGATGACCTGACAACGCCATTCCCCATGGGAAAATGTGCCTATGAGGGCGCATTCAGCCTTTATGAAGGCGGGTTACGAGGGTGGCACTGGAAAAATCTGGGAAACCCTGCCGCAACCTCCCCATTTTGATGGGTTTATGGCAGCTGCTATAGCTTATTGTTGAGCTTTTACCACGATTAACACCTAAGTTCCGCCTCTTTTTTGGAGGAATGCTTGCGGCAAGTTAAGTCTATGGGGCACATGGTCAAGATTGTAGGAATTTGGTGCAGGGATGCGCAGGGTGATTATTGGGATGTGTAAGCCTCGGGTCAATTTTGGTCTCCAAACCATCGCCTGGTCTACGCCAAATCCATTTGTGCAGCCAAAGCAAATTGGGTTGTCTGAAAACTTTGGGAAAACCCTGAATTCCGATATTTTATTGATTTTTATTGTAATTGTCCCCATTGTTTTCTGCTGAAAACCAAAAGAGTTCTTCTTTGCGAGGCTTAGAAGATTTCATCGTGAATCAAGGAGCCAAACCCACTGCAGCTCTGATCGTGACTCGGAGATAGTTTGTTTCGTTGCAAGGAGATGTCAATTACATCATTTACATCACATGTGTTCGATTGAAGACGATGGTCACCACATCCAAACACCATGCTCCAATGATCTCCAATGTGCACTTCAATTTCTGCGACATCGCCAGTGAGGTGGGAGACATCGCATATGGCGGTGGCAGCCAACTGGTGAACAACGCCACACGTCATGCTTTTCAGAAATATCTCCATGGCCAAGTCCCTGTGGATCGCGTCTATCCGGTGATGGGCAACCATGTTGGAGCACTCAGAGGGGGCTGGCTGTGAGGCTTCCAACAGATCCAAGAGGTTGTTATGAGGAAAATCATGGATTTTTAATGGAAAATCATGGATTTTTATGGAAAATCATGGATTTTTAATGGAAAATCATGGATTTTTATGGAACATCATGGATTTTTAATGGAAAATCATGGATTTTTAATGGAAAATCATGGATTTTTAATGGAAAATCATGGATTTTTATGGAAAATCATGGATTTTTATGGAAAATCATGGATTTTTAATGGAAAATCACAGAAAACTCAAGGTCTTCCGATGAATTCTGCTCACATATCAATCTAGATATGCTTGATCAACAATGAAGTTTGTTTGTAAAGGTTCATTGAAAAACACACTCAAATTCTGGTGTACTTTGTGTTGGGTTGACAACATCCAGCAATCAACCAGTGATGCAGATTTTCTTCAGCTTCCTCAGTTGGTATCTCCCCATAGACCTGTGGGACCTATGGCTGCGGGGCGTCCAAGGACATTCACTTCCTTGGGTGCAGCAAGGGTGAAGTGTGGCTTGGATCACTTTATGTATTGCACACTTCTGCCAGTTACCTCATTTCTTTTTTAAGGTCGAAGGTTGGTGTAGTTCGACACGCAGGAAGCAGAAAAAACTGAAAAAACGATGTTTCACTGGGTGAAGTCAACGGAGGTCTCTATGTCTCTATGTTTCCACTTTCCCGCATCTGTTGATTGAAACCGCCATTTTGGTCCGATCTTGGCTCAAGCAATCTTTTGGTCCGATCTGTTTATTGAAACCGCCCCGAAGCCTTGTTTCACAACACCCGTCGCTGCCATGGTTCCAAAGGCAAATTTGATCTTTGTTTCAATGGTGGCCAGTGTGATTCCTCAAGCTTTAGTGGTGGCCCATGACAATCCCAACGTTTCAATGCCTCGTGGCTGGAACCATAGCAGCCGAGCCACCCCCGAAGAATTGGGCGTGTGGGACAAGTTCTGCCAGATGAACAGCGATTTGGCCAGCATGGAAAAACCAGTGGAAGTTTCTAAACAAGAGGCTCCAGGGTTTCAGTACACGTTTACCTTCAGCAACCGTCCCCCGGTGAATGTCTACGAAGTGCCATGGCTACGGGATTTGGTAGTTCAGAAGTTGATATACAATCCCAACGTTTCAATGCCTCGTGGCTGGGACCATGGCGGCCGAGCCACCCCCGCGGGGTTGGGCGTGTGGGACAAGTTCTGCCAGATGAACAGCGATTTGGCCAGCATGGAAAAACCAGTGGAAGTTTCTAAACAAGAGGCTCCAGGGTTTCAGTACACGTTTACCTTCAGCAACCGTCCCCCGGTGAATGTCTACGAAGTGCCATGGCTACGGGATTTGGTAGTTCAGAAGTTGATATA